GGAGGTTCGGGGCGGGCGCGCGGCGGGCATGGAGGACTACGAGCAGGAGCTGCGCGGCGTCGAGGACGACTTCCACAGCCAGTTCGCGGCCGAGCTCGAGGTGCTGGCCGAGCTGGAAGGTGGGCGCACGCCCCAGGGCGCAGACTGGCCTGGCCGCTGTCCTTTCCGCGCGACCTGCGCCTCTCCACGGGGCCCTTCCTCTCTTGGGCCTCGGTCTTCCCAGCGGCAGCAGGGCGCGATTATAGCCCGACTCCCCGGTAGTCAAGGAGGGCTGCTCGGCGGAGCTGAGGCGGCAGGAGCTAGTCGCTCAGGAGGAAGGTGGCTGCAGAGACCGGGAGACAGAGGCCACCCCAGGCGCAGGACGAACGGGCGACACAGGGGACTTCCGGGGGGCTCTGATCCTGATGGCGGAGCATGGCTGCCCGGAGTCTTCTCTCCCAGCAGGGACGTCGGCCCTGTCGCCCTCCGTGGTTCTCCAGCCTGTCCGGAACCGCCCCCAGCTGACATTCGAGGAGGCCATCGCTGGTGGGGATGCTGTCCCCCACTCCTCCTCGCCTGGAACTCCAGGGCACTTCAGTGGGGGTGCGAGGAAGAGGCAGGTGGATGGTGCCTCCCAGGGGCCCACGGCCTTGCCCCCCAGTATGTCCTCAGGGTGCACCAGGGCACGGGGGAGGGGCGGTGGGGCGTGCCTGGGGGGGTCTGTTCTTCCCTGCCGTCTGTACAGCACCCAGGGTCAAACGATCGAGGCTGGAGACAGTCAAGAGGCTGGATTTTGGGGCGGAGGAGCCAGAGGAGCCACTGCTTCCTGACTTCCCACCTGGGGACATCACACCCCCCCTGAGTCCCGAGGTCCCCTCTGAGCTGTGGGGCGATGGGTGTGTAACTTGGGCACAGAGGCTTGGGAGTGTCCCATTGCTTGGACGGGGTCTGAGGGAGGGGTCCGGGACTAGGGCAGAGTCCTCGGGACTGGGGCAGGGTCCCCGAGGCTGAGCAGCATCCTCTCCTAGGCCCTTGGAGACTGGGGGCGACATGGGCCTCGGGCAGGCTTCTGCCCGCAACCCCGTCCTGAAGCGGCCCCCCATCTTGGAGGACTACATCAATGTGACATCCACGGGTGGTGACCGGGCCTTTCTGGTGCTTCGTGCAGATTCCGGGGGCACTGGGGTGCAGGTGAGCACTGTGCGGCCCCAAGCCTGGGCCCAGTCATGACTTCCTGTGGGACAGGAGGTCCTGGGCCCCACCCCTCCTGCGGGGCAGCTCAGCACCTGGACGAGGGGCCTGCACCTGTTTTGGGTTCTCAAGAGCGGACGTTTCTGTCCTGCTGGAAGGCCGGGCCCTCAGAGTGCCAGCCCGCCAACCCGCATGCTGTCCACCCTGTGGTCCAGCCTGTGGCCACGGTGGGGGAGCCCTCCTCCCTGTCCACCTTGCTCGGAGGCCAACCCCCTTGCTGTCCACGCTGTGGTCCAGCCTGTGGCTGTGATGGGGTGTCCCTCCCCTCCCCCTCCCTGTCCTTTCCCCTCTCGCTCAGAGCTTTCCCTCTGCCCACTGGAGCTGCCCCATCTGGGTAACAGCCTTCCTGGTGTTCCTGGTTGGACAGGGCCTTGCCTGCTTCTAGGGGGTCCCTCTGGGAGGGGCGCCAGAGTGATGACTGTCCTCTGCCTGTAGGGTCCAGTCCGTGGTGTTTGCAGGCAAGGCTGTGGCCGGTTGGACCTGCTGGGTGTACCTTTCGCCTCCCTGAAGGAGCAGGTGGACAGTGAGGTGGGATCTGCAGACCTTGTGTGTTGGGGGTGCTGCTGGCGGGGCCGTCATGACCGAGCTGTCCTGTTTACAGCGTCGGCAGCAGCTGCTGGAGGAGGCCGGGCGGCTCTCAGACACCCCGCACAGGTGTCTCGACAGCTCACGGTTTGGCATGACCTGACCTGTGTTCTGTGTGGGGTGGGGCTGCTGGGGCTGCTGGGAGGGGCAGGGCCAGTGGCTCACTGGTGCTGTCCAGCCTTAGACCCGAGGAGGAGGCGACCCAGCTTGTGGGGGCCCCCGAGGAAGAGCCAGCCCCTGGCCTGCGCACCTCCCAGCACTGCCTGTGGGTGGACGAGTTTGCGCCGCGGCGCTACCCGGAGCTCCTCAGTGACGATGTGAGCTCTGCTGCAGGCCTGGGTGGCGTCCCCTGCGAGGGAGGAGGGTAGGGAGTGGGCTCTGATCTGCCTTGGTGGGGCCCAAGTTGGTGGAGGGCTACTGGTCACCTGTGCCCTGCTGGGAGCTGAGCTCAGGGATCCCCAGCCCTTGTGACAGCCTATGCTGGGATACCCCAGGCAGGACAAGGGGCTCGTGGAGGGGAGGAGCCCTACTCTCTGCTCCCTGGGGGCTGGTGCTTCATCACCATCAGCCTCGCCCTCCCTGCCTGTGCTGCAGGGCTTACGTGACAGGCTGGCGTGAGGGTGGGCCTGGGTCCTGGTGCTGCACTAGCTAGCTGCCTAAGGCCATGCCTTGCTTTCCCCAGTTCACCAACCGCTGCCTTCTGAAGTGGCTGAAGCTGTGGGACCCAGTGGTATTTGGCCGCGAGAAGCCTGCCCGTAAGCCCAGGCCTGGTGTAGAGCCAGCCCGGGCGGTCAGGGAGGTCCCAGCCTCCGGCAGGTGGAAGAGCCACGAGGAGATGCTCGAAGGGGTGCTGGGTGCTGAGCTGGACTCGAGCCTGCGGCCCCGGCACAAGGTGAGCCCGTGTGCTCCGCTGTGCCGTGGGCACCTGAGCCCGAGCTCTGCCCTGGTGGCTGGAGCCATTGCAGCCTCGCGGGCCCATGAGGCACTTGTCCCTCCTCCCGGGACTGTGGGCACAGTGACGTTGGGGCCCCGGAAGGCGGCAACAGCTCGTCCTCACCAGCCCGCGGAGGGCTCTGTGCCCTCTGGTGTGACGGGGGCAGCCTCTGGGGGCTGGTTGTGGGTACCGTCCACACCCTCTCAGGTCTTGGGAACTGGCCCTATGTAGGGTATTTCTGCTCCGCAGTGAGCACACCGGGTTTGCACTCACATGACAGGTAGGGCGGGTCAGGGTGGGAGCATCGGTAGAGCCCAGCCTCATGCCACACCCGCGCCACATGGCCTTCAGCCTCCGGCTGTAGGGCTGGGCTTTCCGGGGCACCCTGACTGCACGTCCTTGCCCACCCTGGCTGCAGGTGGCACTGCTGTGCGGGCCTCCAGGGCTGGGCAAGACCACCCTGGCCCACGTGATCGCGCGGCACGCCGGGTACTGCGTGGTGGAGATGAACGCCAGGTGAGCGGTGGGCCTGCGGTGGCCTGGGCATGGTCCGGCACGGTCCAGTCGGGTGGGCGTGGTTCTTGTGGGGGCGAGCTCTCGATTCCCTGGGCGACGAGGGACGCGTCCTTCCCCGCTCACTGGGTGGGCAACCACGTGGCCTTGGGAGGCTGCCCTGCTGGGGGCTGGTTCTCAGCTTGGCTGGGCCATAGCCACCTGTTCTTCCCTCGCCCAGCGACGACCGCAGCCCTGAGGCCTTCCGCATGCGCATCGAGGCTGCCACGCAGATGGAGTCAGTGCTGGGCGCCGGTGGGAAACCCAACTGCCTGGTCATTGATGAGATCGATGGGGCCTCCGCGGTGGGCCTCCTGGTGCCCTGGGCGAGTGGGTGGGTGGGCCGGTGCTGGGCGTGTGGCTCACAGTGCCCCTCTGCCCTCCCCGTAGGCCGCCGTCAACGTCCTCGTGTGCATACTGAACCGTAAGGGCCCGCAGGGACAGGAGCTGGGTGCTCCGCCTCTGGGAGGGGGCCGGCGGCGCCGGGTGGAGGGGGCACCGCTGACCAGGCCAATCATCTGCATCTGCAACGACCAGTGAGTGGTGGGCGGCCCTGGCCCCGTGCCTGCCGGGGGTGCACGGGCCTGGAGGTCCCTGTGGCCTGGCTGCTGCCTGTCCTCTTCTGCAGGTTTGCACCGGCCCTGCGGCAGCTGAAGCAGCAGGCCTTCCTGCTCCACTTCCCGCCGACACTGCCCTCCAGGCTGGTGCAGCGGCTCCAGGAGGTCAGCAGGGCAGGGTTCGTGTGGCCTCATGGGTGGGGCAGCCCTTGCACTGGTCCCTATCGCCTACCGTCCCCTCAGGGTCTTGGCTGGCCTGAGACATGGTGCTGGTGACTGGAGTGGTATGGCCAGTGGCGGGCAGTTCAGGGCAGAGACGCCCATCCTGGGGACTGCAGCCTCTGGCTGCATGGGAGAGGGCCAGGAGCTGCTCTGGGGAGGGGCCGTGGTGGCCGGGGCCCGCAGGGCGGGGTGGGCGCGGCCATAGCCCTCTCTGTACCCGCAGATTTCACTGCGGCAGGGCCTGTGCCTCCCCACACACTCACACATGCACACACACGCGCTCACCCACTCACACACCCCCACGTGCAACCCCCACTCACATGCACACACACTCCCACTCACACCCGTGCACTCACACACACACACACATGCGCACACACTCCCGCTCACACACACCCCACGTGCACTCACACATGCACACACACCCACGTGCATACTCACACACACCCACTCACACACACACGTGCGCACACACACACACTCTCACACTCACCCCCCTGTCCAGTTCCTGCATGGGCGGGGCCAGCGGGAGCTGAGCGTGCAGGCTGTGCGGGCCACACGGGTCGGCCTCAAGGACCAGCGCAAGGGGCTCTTCTCGGTCTGGCAGGAGGTCTTTCAGCTGCCCCGGGCCCAGAGGTAGGTGGTGGCAAGCACTGGGTAGCAGTCCAGCTTTGGCCGATGGCCTCCCTCCCCCAAGCTCTGGGACACGGGGCCTGCAGGTGTGGCCAGGGCTGCCGTCCCCCAGAGACCTGTGCTGAGTTGTGGAGTCGCCCCGTGTGGCCTTCAGGGCTCAGGGCCTGGGCAGGGAGCCCCCTGGGCACTGGTAGGAGCGGCAGTCAGGATGACATGGCCTCCAGGTGCAGCTCCAGCTGTGAGGCCGTGGATCTGCCCTACCCCGTAGGGACACTGGCCCAGTCTGTCTGCAAGGACAGAGCGGGGATGTCCGGGGCTGCTGGGCCTGTGGGACGCGGCGTCGTGGCCTGGCTCCTGCAGGATGACCCTGCCCCAAGGGTCAGTCTAGAGTCCAGGGCCCAGGGTCTGCTCTCTTCCTGAGGCCCCTCCTGAGGGAGTTTCCTGGGGTATAAACCCCCGGCCAGGTGAGGTGGGCCTGCTGTCCCATCCTTGGCACCCTAACAGGCAGCGCGCAGGCCAGCACCCAGCCCAGCCCGCCCACCTGCTCGGCGACCACGCCCCAGGCTCCCTGACCGCGGCCTCCCAGCGGTTCTTCCGCGTCTTGCAGGTCGCTGCCTCTGCAGGCGAGCACGACAAGGTGGTTCAGGTACCTGCCCCACCAAGAGCCCTCCCAGGGGACAGCCCTGAAGGGGGGAGGGACAGGAGGATGGGGCCGGGCCTGCCGGGGTTCTGGCTGCTGACTGGGGCGGTGGGTGGGCTTTTTGTGGCCCTGTGTCAGCAGCCTGGTGGGGCTGAGGCCAGTTCTGGGCCGGGGTGGTCAGGAGGGGCCGGTGGGGGTAGCCTAAACAGGTGGCCGAGGTCCCTGCCCCGAGAAGCCCAGCCTAAGCTGCTTCCAAGTCAGAGGCTTTGGATTACCAGCTGCCCGGACACCCGCGGCCCGGGGAGCAGTGGGGACGGGGGCGGGGGCGGGCCACGCTTGGATGTGGGATGGAGCTTCCCTCTGGCCCCCTGGCGCCCTCAGGCTCTGGAGGCCTTGGTTGGGGGGTCCCCTGTTCCTCATCTCGAACCTCTGTGAGACGGGCAAGGGGCGGCTCAGTGGACCAGCCCCCTCAGGGCTCTGTGGCCGCTTGTTGGTGCTTGCAACTGACCCATGCCCCGGGCCCTGCAGGCCGGGCAGGAGGCAGTGGGCAGGGGCACAGGGAGGCTGTGAGGTAGGGTCACTGGCTCCCCACCCAGGGCCTGTTTGACAACTTCCTGCGCCTGCGGCTGCGGGACTCAAGCCTGGGCACCGTGTGCACGGGCCTCGACGGGCTGGGCCTCCGGTCGACT